GATTTGTTATTCCCTGAATCCTGCGGCCTGTATGTACAGACCACTTTGAGCACATTCAAGCACAGAAGAAGCGAGGCAAAAAAAAAAACTTGGGATCTTGCACGCTAATTTCTGAGATACTCTGCTTCGTTCTCAGACTCTGCCTCTGATCACCTTGTTTGGTTGTGCAGAAGTTGTATGCACAGCGGATTTACACTGTCGATTGTGGCCGCTTCTTTTTTTTTTTTGTGGGGGGAGGAGGGTTCCAGGATGCCATAACTCTTGCTAATTCAAGTCTGGAGACTTGCTCTTGTAGCACTTAATCATATGATGGGTCCCAAAAAATTAAGATGAAAAAAAAAAAAACATAAAAAAACAAAAAAACAAAAAAACATTCTTATATACATATATATTATAAATATGAACAGTTAGAGTACATCAACATAAATTTCTTCTTAAAGAATAACTAGAAATGTATGCATGAGATCCACAATGTGTTGGGATTTAAAGCTCCAAAAAAAAACACACTCCCTGCCTAAAAGAAAGCGGTTGGACCTTACAACTCTTGGGTGTAGGTCCCAGTCCAATATAGCTCATCCTTGCTCTGAACTATGTGATCTGCAGGAATGCTTGGTTTTGCACCTTACAGTGGGATTTAAAAGGGTAATCATCACATAAAGTTTGTATATTTTTTTGGCTCCTGGCCAGAAAAAAATGGTACATGCTTGCATGCATGCACACTTGCAACATTACTCCATATCCTGTGCTGGATATGCAGTGAAATAAAACTAGATATGGAGTGTTTTTTTTGTTCACTTCTTCACACAACGCTGCCACAGATACGATACACTGTGTGTATCATGGAGAATTCTGCAAAGCTGCATGGCCAAAAACCAAATTTGTTGAATCTCCTTGCAAATAAAAGCAGATTGGTCAGATAGTTTTTTTTTATTGGGGCTCAGATACATAGTGATACATGGCAGATACGGGCAGATACCGTATCTGTGGCAGCGTTGCTTCACACATCATTTTAACAAAAAAAAAAAGCAAAATACTGCATATCCAGTTTCTTTCTACTACACTGTTGAAAGTGCATGAAATTTTTTGGCCAAAGTGCAATCCTAGACATGAAATGTGTACACCATAACTGGCTTTGGTATCACCGGTGGCTGCCAAGCTGATCTTATTGGGCAGGCAACTTGATTGGTAAATTGGTGGTAATATGCTCGACAGGCATTTCCGCTGTGGTGGTTGAGAAGTCATTGTGAGAAGACATCTTGGAACGGGTATGAAGAGGCGGTGATGATAGGAATTCAAGATTTTCCAATCAAGTCAACCACTTCCAGATGGATCAGACACAAAAACTGCAAAAAGTTCAAAAAAGATATAAGAAACCAGAATTACAACTATTAAGTTGGTCAATTGGTATTGATAACTTTTCAAAACTTGGGTCAATTGGTAGTGATAACTTTTCAAAAGTTGGTAATCCGGATTCCTAACTTTTTGGAATCCAAAAGTTGAAGCAATTTTATTTTGACCAAAATCCAAACATTTCTGGTTGAAAAGGTCAGAGGACCGGCTGAAAACTCTTCTTGCAACCTTTCTCAGGCCAGAAAGTTGAGCAAACAATTTGATCATGAACCAACTTTTCAAAAAAAGTTGGAAATCTGGTTCACAAAAACTTGCACCCATGATGACGTATGAATGAGCTCCAATGTTCCTGATAATATATATATGAGTGGTTTCCACGGGCTTATAGAAACCCTCTTGGTGGGGCATCAAACTCTCAGATCAGCCA